GACCACCCATAGGCACGAGGTCACCAATAAAGTGATACACGAGCTGTGAATCATGTTCGTCATAATTCAGAAAATGACATGAAATATGGGCGACAATAACTGCACCACGCATTACATTTTCGATTTGTTGAGAACAAATTGGCCAGGATTTAATCAATTTCACTTACAAATGCCTAGTGATTAAATTTGAGGAACTATTTGTTCAAGAAAATAGGGAAAACGTAAAGCATATTGCACTACGTTGCATTGGGCCAATCACATCGCTAGAAAATAGGCATATTCATGCATGTTTGAGCTTCAAGCTTCCAAGACGATACTTCTTTGACGACGTACTACTTACTATTAATTGTACGCCATCGTGCTGAGCTCACCTGAACAAATTGGCCAGGATTTAATTAATTTCACTTACAAATGCCTAGTGATTAAATTTGAGGAACTATTTGTTCAAGAAAATAGGGAACACGTAAAGCATATTGCACTACGTTTCATTGGGCCAATCACATCGCTAGAAAATAGGTATACTCATGCATGTTTGAGCTTCAAGCTTCCAAGACGATACTTCTTTGACGACGTACTACTTACTATTAATTGTCCTGGCGCTCGCGCTTCGGCTCTCCCTGACGACCACGTCACCACTACGGTGGAGCCTGCGCACTCGATTCGTCCTCCCTCCTAAGCGTACGAATCGTACGCTTAGGAGGATGTAAAGTAGTACGGGACGACCCCGGAACCTGGCTAACCACCACCGCCGCTCCTGCGGCCATGGCATATGCTCGCCAAATAACTCATACAACCCAGACCCACCCATCCTGCCTAAGCAACTCTTGTTACCTCAACTTTTACTCTCGTAGCATGGCACAGCAACAGCTACCCTGCAATCACCACCATACAGCTCCACTGTCGAGATCAGGAGTAGACATAGTAATGAACCCCAGTCACGGCCATTGGAGCCCCAGCAGTCACAACTATCGTTCCCCGGCAAATACCACTACCATCACTTTGACTATAGCTATTCTGGAGCGTGGGTGGTGGGGTGGCGGTGGTACTGACTAGCGGTCAAAGTGATTACCACCAACCACTGCCACCTACCCCAACGCTCCAGAATAATGCCCAAAAACCCTGCTAACATTACCCCAGTGACTATTGTACAGTACATGCAGTACATCATCACGACTAGCCATGTCACATCGACTCTGTGTTTCCTCTAAGTCGACCACCAACGGCCACCAATTTTTCACACTACTTTGTTCACTAGAAGGGTACTTGGTGGTATGCTGATGACATGCGCAGCGCTTGTGACCACCGGCACTGCGCATCTCACCACCACTCCATCAAATACACTTCTAAGTTGTGTGAAAACGGGTTACGATGTGTGGCAGTGATAGTTGATTGTACCATTTGATGCTGGGGTCTCCCATCGGCGTGCAAGGAAAATTTGGAGGATGGCTGAATCTAATATACGTATAGGAACAACCAATTCACTCATCTCCTCATGCTCCGTGTTTATATTTGTAGTGATTACATACACAAAGTGATGCAAAGTAGGCTTTTCAACCAAGTCACCAAAAGACTACAAATAAATGCCTTGACTTTCGACAGCTATTCCAACTTTGTATTGATATTATTTACAGTTAGGAAAACATACCGTAATAACGGTAGAACTGGACAAGCCCAACATAAGTTACGGTTCAGATTTTCGATTGGTGAAAAATTAATCGAGTAATAGAATTTAAACCAACCTTTTTGTACGGAACCAGGTACATTTTGGCCGAAAAGGAGTATCACGTATATCTTGGTCTTTGTATACAGCACTTATCCGTACGAACGTTTTCATTGTATCCGGATTATTCACAATGTTTAACCTAATTACCAGGTAAAAACGTAACTAATAATGATTTAACGTCAACGTTTCGTGGGTTTAACTGAAAGAACAGAGGCGTTTAATAGTAAAACGTCTCCTCCTGAGGATGGCCGATCTGTAGTCTTTAACACCATATGTCCAATAAAAACCATAACATTCATTGATTGGATAAAATAATGAAGGTAGTGGAACTTACATTACGATTTCCAACCACAACACAAAAATCTCTTTGATGTCCAGAACATAGGCGAGGGTCTTGATTGGTGAAAATGATGTCAATGACATCAAATCATTGGACATAATTTGTAACGCGTCGCGAGTTCTAACAATATCGCATAACATAAAAGTCCAATTTAAGGTGCTCGATCCAATTTAAGGTGCACGAATTAGCCAATCAATTCCTACAAAGGCAGTTTTTAACCTACCCGCACAAAAAAATATGCAAATGGGTGTACAAAGACTAACCCTAAAATGGTGCACCTTAATTGGACCGCTTGTTTTAAGCTGTTACTGGACAAAGTGATGTGAATGATAATGAATTATAACAGAAATCATGTTGCATTCATAACTCCCGAATAGGCCTGGATTTTGGCTTAATGTAACATATTCTAGAATTATAATCCGATGCCTACAAGTCGAGTTACATTCCTTCCACACCAGCGTCTCGGAAAAAGTGTTCTTAAATTGGACTTTTACGTTATGGCACCAGTTACGAAATATTAACAAGTTGCTAGTAAAGTTGCTACGCCACGACGTTGCGTTCAAAGGGATGCTCGTTATTGTGCTTTCCGGTTAAACTTGCCAATTGTGAGCCATTGTGAAAATCGCCAACAAATAGCTGCGATGATTTCATTGGTTAGAATTTTGAAGATTTGGGCAGAAAATGGACAGCCAACTCAGTTTTCCGCAACTGCCTGGGCAGTCCTGGGCAGTACGATGAGGTGTAGTCGCACGTTGCGGTAGCGCGGGCGTCCAGTTGGTGTACTTGCGATGTTTGTGTGTACTGTACTGTACATAGGTGTGTATGTGTGTTGGGGATGCGAAGAGACTCGTATACGAGGCCTACCCGCTCAGGTGTTTATGCTGGCGCATCACGGCACTCAAGCTATGTCTCAACCTGTACGAGGTCCCCGTGCCCGGCAAGGACGTCGTCGACTTGGTGGGCGACGCGGCCAGCCAACGACTCGCGTACAAACTCGCGTCCGAGAGTATCGTGCTGCTCCAGAACGTCAACTCGACATTGCCCATCGCTGTATCCAGTCGTATCTTCCTCACGGGTCCATCCATCGCCAGTATCGGGAACCTCTGCGGGGGATGGAGTCTGGCGTGGCAGGGGCTGTCGTCTGACAACGCCTTGTTTCCGCACGGACAGACAGTCCAAGACGCGCTGCGCGTCGCGTGTCCTTCCTGCGCCATCGAAGCCATATCAGGGGTCGATATCCACGGCGCGTATACCGAAGATGTGCTGGTTGATGCAGTCAAGAAAGCCTCTCGGTCCGACTACACGGTCGTGGTGCTAGGCGAAGGGCCGTACGCGGAGAAACAGGGCGACATTGACGACTTGGACTTGCCTCGCGGTCAGCAAGAGTACGTCCGGGCGCTGGCGGCCACGGGGACCAAGGTCGTGTTGGTGTTGGTGCAAGGTCGTCCTCGCTTGCTGCGGGGGCTTCCGGACGTAGTCCACGCCGTGCTGAACGCGATGCTGCCGTGTGAGTTGGGCGGC